AGTAGACTGGTCGCTATGATAGCTCTAGTATGATAGGTGTATCTGTGGTAAGTAGACTGGTCGCTATGATAGCTCTAGTATGATAGGTGTATCTGTGGTAAGTAGACTGGTCGCTATGATAGCTCTAGTATGATAGGTGTATCTGTGGTAAGTAGACTGGTCGCTATGATAGCTCTAGTATGATAGGTGTATCTGTGGTAAGTAGACTGGTCGCTATGATAGCTCTAGTATGATAGGTGTATCTGTGGTAAGTAGACTGGTCGCTATGATAGCTCTAGTATGATAGGTGTATCTGTGGTAAGTAGACTGGTCGCTATGATAGCTCTAGTATGATAGGTGTATCTGTGGTAAGTAGACTGGTCGCTATGATAGCTCTAGTATGATAGGTGTATCTGTGGTAAGTAGACTGGTCGCTATGATAGCTCTAGTATGATAGGTGTATCTGTGGTAAGTAGACTGGTCGCTATGATAGCTCTAGTATGATAGGTGTATCTGTGGTAAGTAGACTGGTCGCTATGATAGCTCTAGTATGATAGGTGTATCTGTGGTAAGTAGACTGGTCGCTATGATAGCTCTAGTATGATAGGTGTATCTGTGGTAAGTAGACTGGTCGCTATGATAGCTCTAGTATGATAGGTGTATCTGTGGTAAGTAGACTGGTCGCTATGATAGCTCTAGTATGATAGGTGTATCTGTGGTAAGTAGACTGGTCGCTATGATAGCTCTAGTATGATAGGTGTATCTGTGGTAAGTAGACTGGTCGCTATGATAGCTCTAGTATGATAGGTGTATCTGTGGTAAGTAGACTGGTCGCTATGATAGCTCTAGTATGATAGGTGTATCTGTGGTAAGTAGACTGGTCGCTGTGATAGCTCTAGTATGATAGGTGTATCTGTGGTAAGTAGACTGGTCGCTGTGATAGCTCTAGTATGATAGGTGTATCTGTGGTAAGTAGACTGGTCGCTGTGATAGCTCTAGTATGATAGGTGTATCTGTGGTAAGTAGACTGGTCGCTATGATAGCTCTAGTATGATAGGTGTATCTGTGATAAGTAGACTGGTCGCTATGATAGCTCTAGTATGATAGGTGTATCTGTATATCTGTTACCATATTTATGTATCTAAGGACGACGGAATCTCCCGCACTAGAATCGGGTCCCGGGCCCCACTGTATTTATAGTCATGGTCCTTTGTTTATTTTTAATTCCGAAGTTTGTCCACGTCATCGCGTCCATGTTGTTCCACCTACGTTGACCAAACTTGCTATAGTTGTGTATCTTGGTAAGTAGGAGTTTCGCATTTCGGGTCTGATGCCTTCTATATAAAGAGATATGGCCATTTGTTATTTTTTTATACCGAAGTTTGCCTGTTGGCTAATAAGTGGAGACATATGTTTTGTTCACTAAAACAAGTTTCTAGTTGCTAATTGACACGTGTCTTGTCTTGGTTGCTGAACACCGTCTTCCTTGACTGGAATATGAGATGGTCTGGATTGCTGAAATCTGTTATGTGGAATTTTTGTTTGTTTTTGTTTTTATTCCGGATTGCTGAACCAGCATGTGTATATATAGATAGTTTAAACAGGTGAAAGACCCTGTGACACTATATCAATCTTATGGAATTTAGTCATTTGAGTCATACACAATTTCACTTCTTTCAGATACCATCTAAATGTTCGGCAGCATTCGTTCCCCTTGATGTTCATCTCAAATTTTCTCTTCTAACGTTATGTCCACCCTAAATTTTCAGCACCCTGATCATGCAAAGTCACACAAGCATAGGATAATACCCAATGCGCACTTTATAATACTCATTTCTGCATGCCCCATTCACATATTCTCACTTACAATGTTTATTCATGATGTTGTCCCCTAGTGCCATCCTCTAATGTGTATCACTAGAGTCTACATACTAATTCCCATCATTATGTACGTCCATTAATGACGTTCACTCATGATTCCCCAACTAATGGATACACTTAATGTTATTCCGTAGGCATTGATACGTCCATAGATAGATGATATTATGGTCGACGGGAGGTAACTCTCATTTCAAATCAAGATCATCAATGATAGAGCTATGCTGGTGGGGAAGATACAAGATACATATTTTAACAGTTAGCTCATTAGTGCATACCGTTTCAACTTACTTTCATTTCAGGAAACATGACTTGGCAAACATTTTTTTAACGTCAAAGTGCGTGTATTTCTCAAACAGATAACGTAAAATCTACCTTATAAAAACAAGTCGGTCCACCTGAAAAAGATTACTCTCTACATTAAGTGCCATTGGTTAATTAAAAAGGAAAGTGAACATAAGAGATTCAAGCCAATACTTTTCCAAACGTCACTGTACGACACAGGTGTTGGTGTTTACGTTGAAATCAGTTAACTGAGTCGTCTCATTGGACGATTATTTTGAACAATTTATTTGAATTGGAATACGCAGAACTCTTTATTTCTGTGGCCTGTGTGCAAGGTCACCGGTACATCTGCACTAAAAATATCAAAAACACACAACCCTAGTCCACTAGTATATTGTACTGGTGACATTGCTGTATAATTTCACGATGAGAATTATACTTGTGGACCAGGGTTATACGTTCAGTAGACGTGGGTGGTTACAGAGCTATGTATAGTACTACACTATACAGGGTATAATTATATCATTATATATAAATGTCCGTGTCGCATCTTGTTAGATCTGAGTAGATATATTTCGGGTAGAGTTTGTTTAATCAAGGGTGTGGCTCATTTAAGTACAGCTGTCTCCCTTGGTTGTCTAGGATTAAACACGTACGTGCGGTATCGCCCTCCTCAGTCTCCTATTTTGACGATTTAATTCGAAAAGCCTCAGATCCAGCGTATCGATTACTTTGTTTATTGCTTGCTTGCTTGCTCGGCAATACCTCACTTTTGGCTTTAATGGTGAGCGTTCGGCCAGGTGAGGAAGGCAATGGGTTCTGTTTCCAGAGCGGGACTTACTAAAATCCTAAAAATGGTAGTTGTTATTCCCATCTTAACGTTCAGCGTTTGGGTAATGGTAGCAACTAGTCCACCCGTTGTCAGTGACCAGGCGGGATGCTGTGCTGGGCGCCTTCGGGGTGGTATTTCAGTGAGAAATCACTGTAAAGTCGGCATCAGATCCGCGCTATCACAAGGAGTTAAATACACCAACATACCCTGTCTCCGGTACACATACACACATGCACGCTTACACAACACACAAATGACCTTAGCTGGTAATAGTACGTTTAACAATATAAAACTAAACCAAACCATCTCTGTTATCGTTATGTTACAGACTAGGAAAAATCCGCATTGCGTTAACTGAAAGGTTATCTTTTTGATAGCAGTAAAGAAAATAAACAAGCGAACTTTGTATAACATTGCTATGTTTTGGCGCAAACTAAATGCAGAAAAAACTTGTAATTCCATCTGGATATGCACCTGTTCACGTCTGCATTTTAGGCTCATTGCAAAGACGTCATGTAAATACCACCCTTTATTTATTCATTTATGCAGTGGTGGATCCAGAGGGGTGGGTTTTTTTTG